CAAAACAGAGGCACCGGAGGCAACACAACATATCTACAACTATACAATCTTTGATAAACCTGACAAAAACAAGCAAGGGGGAAAGGATTCCCTGTTTAACAAATGGTGTTGGGAAAACTGGCTAGCCATGTGCAGAAAGCAGAAACTGGACCCCTTCCTGACACCTTACACTATAATTAACTCTAGATGGATTAAAGACTTAAACATAAGACCTGGCACCATAAAAACCCTAGAAGGAAATCTAGGCAAAACTATCCAGGACATAGGAGTAGGCAAGGACTTCATGAACAAAACACCAAAAGCATTGGCAACAAAAGCCAAAATAGACAAATGGGACCTAAGGAAACTCCACAGCTTCTGCATGGCAAAAGAAATAGTCACTAGAGTGGATCGGCAACCAACAGAATGGGAAAAAAATTTTGCAGTTTACCCATCTGACAAAGGACTGATATCCAGAATTTACAAAGAACTCAAACGGATTTACAGGAAAAAAACAAACAAGCCCATTCAAAAGTGGGCAAAGGATATGAACAGACACTTTACGAAAGAAGACATATATGAGGCCAACAATCATATGAAAAAATGCTCATCGTCACTGGTCATCAGAGAGATGCAAATCAAAACCACATTGAGATACCATCTCACGCCAGTTAGAATGGCGATCATTAAAAAATCTGGAGACAACAGATGCTGGAGAGGATGTGGAGAAAAAGGAACACTTTTACACTGTTGGTGGGAGTGTAAATTAGTTCAACCATTGTGGAAGACAGTGTGGCGATTCCTCAAGGCCTTAGAAATAGAAATTCCATCTGACCCAGCAATCCCATTACTGGGTATATATCCAAAAGACTATAAATCGTTCTACTATAAGGACACATGTACACGAATGTTCATTGCAGCACTGTTTACAATAGCAAAGACCTGGAATCAACCCAAATGCCCATTGATAATAGACTGGATTGGAAAAATGTGGCACATATACACCATGGAATATTATGCAGCAATCAGAAATGATGAGTTTGTGTCGTTTGTAGGGACATGGATGAATCTGGAGAACGTCATCCTCAGCAAACTGACACAAGAACAGAAAATGAAACACCGCATATTCTCACTCATAGGTGGGGGATGAAAAATGAGAACACATGGACACAGAAAGGGGAGTACTAAACACTGGGGTCTATTGGGGGGAAAAGGGGAGGGCCAGTGGGAGGGGGAGGTGGGGAGGGATAGCCTGGGGAGAAATGCCAAATGTGGGTGAAGGGGAAAAGGAAAGAAAAGCACACTGCCATGTGTGTTCCTACGCAACTGTCTTACATGCTCTGCTCATGTACCCCAAAACCTAAAATCCAATAAAAAATTAAAAAAAAAAAAAAAAAGAAAAAAAGAAATGAATAGACTTCTGCTTATTCATTTGATCCATTTGGTCATTATCTTCTGTTTTTCTTTCTTTCTTTCTTTCTTTTTTTGAGACAAAGTCTCACTCTGTTGCCCAGGCTAGAGTGCTGTGGCGCGATCTCTGCTCACTGCAAACTCCACCTCCCGGGTTCCAGTGATTCTCCTGCCTCAGCCTCCCAAGTAGCTGGGATTACAGGCACCTGCCACCACACCAGGCTAATTTCTTGTATTTTTAGTAGAGACCGGGTTTCACCATGTTAGCCAGGTTGGTCTCAACCTCCTGACCTCAGGTGATCCACCCACCTCGGCCTCCCAAAGTGTTGGGATCACAGGTGTGAGTCACCACACCCAGCCCATTTGATCATGATCTTTAAAGGTTCTTTCTCCAGCTCCTGACTTTTCAATTCCTTCCCTGAGGCAAACTGCCAGATTATCTCGTATTTCCAGTTCAGACTCAGGAAGTGGGAAATCTTACCAGCCCAGCTCATCAGTTCATGCCACACCACATCATAGATCCCCAGAAGCCTGGGAAAGGACAAGGGCACAGGATAAGTCAAGTGTCTGTCCCCCAGAAGCCTGGGAAAGGACAAGGGCACAGGGTAAGTCAAGTGTCTATCCCCAGGCCCAGCATCTCCATTTGGCAATGACAGCTCAAAATTCAAGTTGAATTCTTGATCCGCACCCCCATCTTGATTCTCTTCCCCACCTTAGCAATGTGTATCAACATCTGCCAAGTTGTTCAGCCTGATGTGGTATCCTCAGTTCCTCCTTTTCCCTCATCACCGCTTGCAAGCACTCTCACCCATCAACTCTCATCAGTTCTTTCTCTAAAGAAGATCCTAAATTCATCTTCATTTCCATGAACACCACCTTAATCCAGGATACTGCTCTTTCTTGTCTGGATTACTACGACAGCCTTCTAACAGCTTCCTAACCTCTTGTGGCACTTTCCATTCTTTCCATTATTCAATTCATATTCTATACAGCAGAGGTAATGATCTTAAAATATAAGAATCAAAATCCTTCAGTAGCTTCCTATTTCTCTTAGAATAAGATCCAGTCTTTTCCCTCATCTGACACAGCTTTTGATGATCTGATTCCGGCTAATCTCTGAAACCTCATCTTGCAGTATTTTCTCCACACTCACAATGTTCCAGCCACACCTGTGTTGCTTCAGTGACTCAGGATCCCTGGAGTTCTTCTCTGCCTCAGGGCCTTTGCACATGCCTCTGCTTGCTTGGTGTTCCCCTGCTCTCTCACTTGCTTTAGGTCAGAGCTGAAATGTGATTTCCTCAGAGAGGACTGGCCACTCTAACTGAAGGGAATCTCCCCCAACTTTCAGCTCTTCATTTTATCCCCTTATGTCTTCATATTTTTGCCCATCTCTCTAAATTATTGGGGGTGAAATTACAAAAATACACAAAAAAGCAAATGCTAAAAAGGAAGGCAAAGAAAAAAAACCCTTAAAGAAAACAGAGAAAAAGACAAGAAATTAAGAGGAAATAGGCATGAAAGTATTAGCATTTATGAAAAAATAAGTTAGTATAATTTTTAAATAAGTGTAAATGTTATACACCCCCAAAGCAAACATTCTTACTACTTATTTCTAAGTCCTAGATAATTATTTCTAACTCTACCTTCAAGATAAGTCATCTTTCCTTGAATTCCAGTAAGTACAATATTCACTAGTGTAAGAATTTATCAAAATGAAGGCTCAAAATGAGTTAGAAACATTTGAAAAAGTCATTATAGCCCCTAGAAGAGTCTAATGCTTCTTTTCTCTTTGTAAGTTTGCATAGCAAGGATCTAAGACAAGTTTTAAAATAAAACAACACTCTTTTATGGCCATGGGTACATGAGGCATCATTTCTCCACAATAGCCTGGCCCTCTCGCCTCCCTTTGTCCTCAGCAATGCCTCTTTGTAAATCACAGGTGTTTGTGGGCATAAAGCCCATCAGAAGGGAGTTTATTGTGAAGAGTTCTTTCTTTGCCACTTGTTCTAAACCTGTTCAGAGAGTGCTCCATGCCTTAGACCAAATCTCCATAAAAATCAAGAAACAAGAAGTTTTCTGTACGCCTGCCCAACAGCCACACTATGACATTAGTTTCGACAGCTCTGTGACCCCGTATTGTCCCAACTTTATTCACTAGTCTCTTTTTCTCTTTCTCTCTCCACTCCTTTTTTTAAGCCTTTATTGGCATTTTTTATCTACTGTAAAATAAAAAGGAGGAGGATGGGTGTTTTTTTTTTAAGTACTCTATGTGGCAGATGAAGAAAAATATCTGCAGCTACTGTAGTAATGGTTTCAAAAAACACCTGCAAATCAAAGAAAGACACCATGGCAGTGTCTTCAGATTTTTTTTTTTTTTCTTCTCTTAAAGTTTCTTCTTGGCCATTATAGAGTAGGCCCGGCAATGAATTTATGTGACAGCTATGAAGTTAGTATTAAAATTGTGAATAGTGCCTAGCAGTTTTCATGCCCTTAGTATAAGATCGCCTCAATTTGCCACACAGCGGTGAATAGGGTAAAGAAGGGAGGGGGTGTAGATTGAATGAGAGGAGGAGGTTATGTGAATGGGAGGGTTTCCCGGGAGGGGGCAGCACAGTTGTCACGGGGAGAAGAGTGATTTATTTTTGAAATTCCAGAAAGGAAGACCAAAAGAAGTTGCCTAAAAGATCCTGAAGAGCGGATGGCGGGGGTGGTGAGATAAATAATATGTCTACACACATTTAGCAAGTGTCAAGGCCAGCTCTAGAAGTAGGGACGGGGTGGGGGCAGCGGTGGTAAATCCATTCCTCTGGTCTTCCAAGATTCAATATTAAATGCCAGCAGGGAGCAGATGTGAGCAGGGGCTGCAGAATAGGGGTAAGGAGCGCGGAAGGAGGGGTTAAGCGTTTATCTCAATAGAAATTAACCACTTGGGGGGAATTAGGAGCGAGCTGCAGAGGGCGGGGGAAGTGGGGGGAGAAGCGGGACAGGGAGAGTGTCTCTCGGTGTAAAGAAAGGAACTTTCCTGGTGCGGAGATCTGGGCAGGGGCTTCAGTAAAATGAGGTGAGCCGGGCTGCAAAGAGCAAGGCGGGGCGTGCCCTCCACCGCCCCCCGCCGCTCCGCCCGGCCCCTCCCCTGTCCGGCCCCTCCTCCCACCCCTCCCCCCTGTCCATATTAGCATGCGGGCGGCGGCGGGCCGGCCGGGCAGGGAGGGCGGCGGTGGCAACGCCGCGCGGGGCGCATTGTGGGCCGCGCTCGCCTCCGCGGGGGACCATCTGCTCGCTGTCAATGCATCACCTGCTCGTCTGGGCCGTCGCCTGGGCAACGGGGGGCGGGGGATTAAGGAGCGTGTGCGTCTCGGTCTGGGTCGAGGCAGCGAGGTGGGGGTTGAGGCGGGGCGAAGCGCTCCTCGGCCCCCACCCCCCTGCCCCAGGACGGGTCGACCCGCTCAGGGGGGCGGCGACCACCGGCCGCTTGCCGCCGCTCATCAGCTTTTGCTCCCCTGCTGCCTCTTCTCGCGGGAGCGGCAGGAATCCCGGGGAGGAGCAGAGAGCAAAGGGTTCGGCCCTGCCTCACCCTGCCAGGAGGCGAGTCCCGCACTCCCCGCGTCTACCTGGAGCTGCAAGGGCCCTGTCCCGACGCGCTGCACGCAGCCTCCTCCGAGGGAGCTGGCGCATTCTGCTGGGTTCTGGGAACGCGGCGCAGCGCGGTTCTGAGTGCCCCGCAGTCGCCGGGCAACCACAATGGGGCAGCCTCGCCGCGAGACCCTCCCCCGCGCCTGCTACCAAAGTCACAGAAAACTTTCACACCTCTCGTCTGACACCGTGGCCTGTCCGCGACGCCAAGCACTGGGGAAGTCTTCGACGTCAGAATATGGGTGGCGCCTGTTCTTCGCGGGGCGGGCATGGGGAGCCCAGTGTTTATCAAAACGGGTTGATTTTACACGGAACTACGGAGGGGGTGGTTCTGGAAGTAATAGACCCCAGAAATCCTGAAATTCCCCTTCCACCTACTGGTCTAAACCATTTTCGAGGAGAAGCCCATCCAGGAGTAATGCAAGCCAACAGCAGGGGGCAGAGCTAGGCTGTAGATGGGGACGGTGGCCATTTGCGGACACTTTTAATCCAAAGTCATGCTCTATGGTTTAGAAACTTTAGAGCAATTTTTTCTCTGCTCTTCCCCATCTCTATCCCCGACTGGTCAAGGACATTTAGCTGCTCCAACAAAAGTAGTTCTAATGTTCTCGAGGAGTCTACGGGTCAACAATGGATTGGTTAATACCCCCACCCCCTGCCCATAAGCTGTTCGTAGACTGCACAGAACCACAGAGTTGTTAAGTTTTCATCACAACCCGTAATATATAAATGTTTTTTCTGGACTAGCTAAATTACTGGACATTCTTCTGCAGAATCACAGGTTCAGCAGAAAATGGACATTCATTCCTGAGTCCCAGGATGGACACCCGCCCTCCCCAACCCACATCTAAAATATCTTCAGCCAGGAAAAATCCCAGCTTGTTTTTAAAGACTGAGTCTTGTTCGGTCTCATTCAAAAGTCTGGCAACTCTTGGGAAACCAACAGTCTTCTCTGACTTAGCAACTCAAACCCATTTTCTATATTTGTTTAAAAAAAATGTAAGTTTGTGATATGGGCCCTATGTTCATCTTTTCCAGCTAAAGTCTCGTGATCATCAAGTAGAATTTCTCTCCTCCTTTTATAATTTCTAAATATGAACACCGTGAATCAGGCTAATTTTATGATTAAATGCAGTTTTTTAAATTTTCTGTGACCAAACAGAAAATACAGTTCCACTAATATATCATTTATTTTTTCATTCATATGCACGAGAGAAAAGTTAACTATCAAAATATCCATGGCTTTAACATAATAGATGAAGGGGAATAGGTTTGTATGTATAAACTTGCTCCAAAGATAAAATTCTACCCACCCCTTTACTTTTATTATGACTTCCGTAAATTAAAGTTGAGAGTTCTGAGATGTGCCCTTTGATCAAAAAGGTACTCCTAAATACATAGAATCATGGCATCATTCCAATTTAGAGAAGGGATGAACTTGAGTCCAACTCTCCTGTCTATAGATAAGGGAGCGAACTCCAAAATAGTAAATGACTGGCACAAGACTGTACCGCTAGTGGCTAGGGATGCCCAGTGCTCTTCTACCCGCAACAACATCACAGAGGTGCAGCTTTGCACACCAACAGCACCTGAAAATGCCCTTTGCCTACTCAGTTACCACTCCTGCAGCCACTTGCTTCACTACAGAAACAAGAACCCTTCATCAATTTCAGCAAATAATTTTTGAGTACCTACCATGTGTCAGGCAGAATAGACAAAGATTTCCATCCCTGCAGAGCTCACTCTTTAGTGGTGCAAACAAATTTAAAAAGAAAGAAAAGGCCAGGCGCAGTGACTCACACCTGTAATCCCAGCACTTTGGGAGGCCGAGGCAGGTGGATCACAAGGTCAGGAGATCAAGATAATCCTGGCTAACACAGTGAAACTCTGTCTGTACTAAAAATATATTTAAAAAATTAGCTGGGCTTGGTGGCACGTGCCTGTAATCCCAGCTACTCAGGAGGCTGAGGCAAGAGAATCACTTGAACCTGGGAGGCGGAGGTTGCAGTGAGCACAGATCACCCCACTGCACTCCAGCCTGGGCAACAGAAACTCTGTCTCATAAAAAAAGAAAAAAGAAAAAAAAAACTATTCACTTATTGAACATCTAATCAGCTACTATAAGAGGGAAAAATATATTCACAAATAAGATATGGATATCAACCTTAAAAGAGAAAAACATACATGAGAATCAGAGCAATATAATCAAATAGAAAATAATGTCAATATGACAAAGTATCATGAAGTACAAAGGAGGCATCAGGTCATTTTGCCTGAGCAAATGTCATAGAAAAGATGTCAGAAGTTTGGCTATTAGCAGTCCCTGGCACCTCAACAGGGTATGGCACATAGCAGATGCTCAATAAATAGTTGTTGAATTAATGCACAAATGAATGAACAAATGAATAACATATTTCCAAGTAGGCAAAAGGAGGAAGATATTCCAGGCCAAGATATCACAGTATATTAAAATATGGTACATATACACAATGGGATATTACTCAGACAAAAAAAAAAAAAAAGAAGAGAATCTCCCCACTTGTGATAACATGGATAAGCCTAGAGGACATGAGGTTAAATAAACCAGTCACAGAAGGACAAATACTGCATAATATCACTTATATATGGAACATAAAAAAAGTCTAACTCAACCCAAATGTCCATCAATGATAGACTGGATAAAGAAAATATGGCATATATACATTATGGAATACTATGGAGCCATAAAAAGAAATGAGATCATAGCCTTTGCAGGTACATGGATGGAGCTGGAAGCCATTATCCTCAGAAAACTAACACTAGAACAGAAAACTAAACACTGCCTGTTCTCACAAGCGGAAGCTGAGCAATGAGAACACATGGACACGAAAGGAAACGACATGCACTGGGGCCTGTTGCAGGGTGGGGTAGGGGAAGCGAGAGCATTAGGAAAAATAGCTAATGCATGTGGGGCTTAATACCTAGGTGACGGGTTGATAGACACAGCAAACCACCATGGCACATGTTTACCTATGTAACAAACCTGCACATCCTGCACATGTACCCTAGAACTTAAAATAAAAATAAAACTTTTTTTAAAAAAGCCTAACTCACATGAGCAGAGAGTAGAATGGTGTTTGCTAGAGGATGGGGAGCGAGGAGGATGGGGAGTGAGGGAAATGGGGAAATGTTAGTCAAAAGGTGTAAACGTTCAGTATATAATGTAAAATTAATAGTGCTGTATTACATACTTGAAATATGCTTAGACAGTTCTCACTACCACACACCAAAAATGCTAATTATATGAGGTGATGGATGCCCTCATTAGCTTGATTGTGGTCATTTCACAATGTAGACCTATATCAAATCATCACATCGTACACCTTAAATTTATACAGTGTTTATTTGTCAATTATACCACACCAAATCTGGGGAACATTTTTTTGAGGAAAGATATCACAGTACGAACAAAGGTTTAGGGGCATCTGTATTTAAGGAGTGATGAGTGAGCCATGAACTGTGAGCAAAACAAAATAATGGAGAAGATTTGGAAAATGGCATGCTGGCTCAGAGGCACGTTGAGAAGGGATTTGACTACCACGCCAAGAATGTGAATTTTGTCCTGAGGACCAATAGCTTTTCAGCAGCAGCACACTTGTTTTAAGCAGCATCTTGCAAGAAACTCAAAGAGGTTAAAACTGATCCATATAGGGCTGTCCTAATAGAAGCAGGGATAGGCCCCCTGCCCATAATCTCATCATCCAGGGATGGCTGGGGACTCTATAATGCCCTTTGGAACACTGTTTGAACATCAGTACAACTGGCCATGAGTCATCTTTGAACATTATAAGACATAAGAATGTGAGTTTGGAAGGAAAGGGCAAGTCAGGAAGAGCAGTGAAAATGCTACTGAAATTGTCCAAACACAAAATAATGAGAACTTAAATTAGACCAGTAACATTCATAGTGAGATGGAAAATAAAGAGATTTTGAAAATAGAATCCTTAATATACATGGTCTTCCTGCTTCAGAGAACATAATTTTACCTCTGGTACATCTAAGTTTGGATATTTTTTTAAATGACAATATATTACAAACTTCAGCATTTTAACTGTTACTGTGGCTAACACATTCTCACACTTGCAAAAGTTTATGAAAAACACAAATTACTTTTCAGCAAACTGCTTAAATGATGGCTCACATGTCAGAGTATAGATCTTGGGATCCTAAGAGAAGCCAATGGCAGATATAGAAAGATAGCAAAAGAGAAGCATGTTTGAAAGATATCTCATAGTCCTTCCATTTACTAACCAGGCATACAATTATTGAGCAATGATTAAAGCCATCATGACCCTTTCCCTACACTCTTTCAAATGTAAGCATTCGAGTGTCTCTCTTAAAAGTTACATAAAATTATTCATTGCCCACTTACAATTAGATACAATTGCCCATTAAAATCCCCCACTCCCTCCAGGTAGAAGGGTTATGACTTAAGGAATCTATGACACTCCTGGATTGGGTAAAACAAAGATATACTCATACAAACAAATAAGCTAATAAGAGAGGCAGCAAAAAAGAATTGGGAAGCCAGAGAAATTCACATGATGAAGATACCTGGCATTTAGCCAAAAGTGAAAACTGTAAATATTAATCAGATGAGAATCAGTGTCACTTTACAGCAAGAATGTTCTGTAATTAAAAGAGTGGGTATTGTGTTGTGCATGTTAGCACAATTGCCACCAAAAATATTGGATGCCAGGGGCTCCCGAGTACTGGAAAGGGAATAGATTCCTAAGGATGCCGCTTAGCGAAAATTTGCTAAATATCAACTGTGTATGTCAAATTCAAATGATACTGCAAAGTAAAGGAAGAAGAAATATCAGGGTTTTAAAATTGTGTTCCTGTCTTTAAAAGACAGGAAAAGAAACCTTCCTTGGACATCTGTTATTTGCTAGGCGCTTTCCAGACATTATGCCTTTGAATACCTACCTCAATTTTGCAGAAAATGTATCATTAGAATCACATTTCAAAAATGTAGCTGTTCCAAAGTTGGCTTTGTCATCCAAGGTGTGGCTGTGGTTGAGCATGTCTGAAGTGGAGCAGACGTGACATGTTCCTGAAGTTGATAAAAGTCACAAGATTGTAAGACTTCAATGCTTCCTGGATCATCCCTGTGGGCCGATGGGCCTTGGAGTGGATGAAAGGGCAGGGAGGGAGATACCAATGCTCTCATGTGGGTAAATCAGCAGTAAATCTACTCAGTAGTCAGGCACAGGAGGTATGGGCAACATAGTGGGAGTGTCAAAAAAAAGGGAGGATAATTGAAGATCAGAGTAGCAATGGTTGGAAGAGGAGACAAAAGCATGCTGTTCCCTTTCTTTCCTCTGTTGCTAGACATGGGGATGAGAGAGGATGAACAGCCTCCACTACTGAAGGGGGCAAAATGGTAAATACTCCCACCATGGATTTCAATTCTCAATGTTATGTTAGTGAGCGCAGAGTTGGGAAAAGATGTGCACAGTCAGCTCTGACGATCCAGTGCCAGCTAGCTCCAACACACTACTGCCCTTTCCCATGTCATATTTTCCTGTCTCTTCTTCCCACCTGTTCTTGCTCAAAGATAAAGCTGTTAAGTTGTGCTGTGTACATTGTGCAACACTAGTGTTGCCATTTTCATCTCAGCCATCGTTGTTATATGTAATTTAATACGGTAACTTTCCTCTAGAAAAGCATATAGAGCAAAGGAGGCCTTTTCCTAAATTGCACAAAAGCACCATTTGAGTTGGTTTTCATGCTGCTCGGAGACCACATACTGGAAGTCACAAGCCAGACTCAGCCCACAGGCATCTTCTCTTTAACTCACATTGAGTTTTTAAAAAGACTTTTTTTTTTTAAACTAACTTGCCAACATTTAAAAATCAGCAGACCAAAATCCAAATTACTAAATTATCCTGGAGAAATCAAAGGAAGCTGCACTATGCTGAAATCAATAACATAAGGAAAGTACCCACGCCTAGATCAAGGTAGGCATTTAAAAGGTATCAGGATCCTTCAGCCCATTCTGGCTAATGTTCTGTACTCACCTTTTTTATCATGTTATCCTGGAAGCCAGGTCATCTGGACTCCTTCTTTCTGTGACTCCTCCCTTATCTTCTGTCAGTTTCTAGAATAACCTTTGCACCTCAGGGCTTTGCACTTGCCCATCTTCTTCCTGAAACACTGTGCCCTCCACCCCCTTCACTGGTCCAACTTCCACTCATCCTTCCATTTGGTTCAGCCATCATCTCCACCATCAGCTTTCAACAAGACTCCCAGATACTTCCAACTCATGCCATGCTCCATGGAGCAGCCAGTGATCTTTTGAAAACATAAAGCGGATCATAGCACAGCACAATTGTAATAAAATGCAAGCTCCTTCTGCTGGCCCTTATGAATGATGTGGTTTAGACACTCTCCCCATCCCTCAATCACACTGTTTCTCCCTGTTTCCTTTACAAACACACCTCACATGTGCTGGCCTTTGCTCTTGCCACTCCCTTTGCAGGAACACTCTTTCCCAGTCTTTTTAGAAGCTACAGAATGGCAACATTCAGATCCTAGCACAAACAACTGCACATCCTCAGAGAAGCCTTTTCTACCCACCCATGTAAAACAGCAGCCCTCCCCGCTACCAGCCTCACTTCAGTGACTCTCCATCGCATCCCGTGATTACATTTCCTAGACATTCTCCCAGACCTCCAAGTCAGACTTCCAAGTGGTGGGGCCTGTCAATCTTTCCTTTTATTAAGCTACCCCGGGGGATCCTGATATGCAACCAATTTAGGAACCCCAAGTCTGTGGTATAATGGGCAAAGAAAGAATAACAGGCATGTTGAGCTGGGCTGTGGCTCATGGCGAGTGTTTTGTTCCTCATGAGTTTTGAAAGTTCACTATTACAGCAATACAGGATACTACAAACCCACTGTAATTTTGCAGCAATAAATTACTGTCATTTCCTTGCTTGTTTGTCAATGCCACCTAAAACCTCAATCAACAAAACTGTGGAGAATGTTAGAAACAGAGCCAAAATTCCTCCAACTTCTCTGTAGAATAATTATGATCATACTAGCGAGAGGACCAAGTAAAGAATGGACGGCTAGAGGACTTGACAAATTAATAGGTAGAAGGAATACAGACACATTTTTTTAAGCCAGGAATATGTGGGTGCTTACATACAAATCTTTGAGAAAACACTCACTGTCACCAAGAATTTTAAGATTAAAATATTTGGTGAACTGGGGGGTACCAGATCAGGAGGGTGCAGGGGCCAGGGCCATGGCTGGGAGCAGCTCCATTGTGCTGCCCCAGCTCCTCCAGGTCACAGTCCTCACTCTGCCCCCTCTCGTGCTGCTCACATGGCCCTGAGAGGCGTCTCTGTAGGGCTACTGAGCCTGCAGGCCCAGCCTGCACGTTCTGCATAGGTGGGTCTCAAGACCGAGAAAGGTGGGAGGACTCAGAGCTGACCAGCCAAGTATAAGGACTTTGGTCATGCTGTGCATCTGCAGCCCCTGACCAACTGTCTGTCTGCCCCATGTGAACTCTGTCCAAGAATCCAAGGGCTGCCTGAGCAGGATGACACAGAGGCACTGAGGCACCTCATATACCAAGTGTAACTAGCAGGACTCGCTGGTGCTACAGGAACAGACGAGGGCAGATGAAATCCTCATCAAGGACACCTTCCACACCTACTGCCAGCAGCGACTCATGCCTGGCATCCTGCTGGCCAATCGCATTGAAGTTTTTCATAGGGAGGAGCATATTGCAGTTGCAGGATCTGGGTGTACTGGGCCTCACCATCAAAGGATATGGCTGTACTGGGGTCTCTTCTGTGGCCTATGCGCTTATCTGAAAGCTGGAGTGGGTGGACAGTGGCTACAGGTTGGCAATGAGTGTCTAGCTCTCCCTTGTTATAAACCCTATCTACACCTACCTCCGTGAAGAGCAGTGGCAGAAGTATTAGGTTGGTGCAGAAGTAATTGCGCTTTTTGCCATTACTTTTAATGACAAAAACTGCTATTATTTCTGCACCAACCTACACCTGCCTCCTGCTGGCCCACGGGGAGCTCCTGTGCTACTTCAGGCTCACAGAGCCCAACTGCAGCAGTGACTCCAGCCACATGGAGACCAGAACCTGCCATAACCCCTGGAATAACTGCAGCAGTGACCCCAGCCACATGGAGACCAGAACCTGCCATAACCCCTGGAATAAGAGCTATACCCTCCATGGGACCACCCTGATCTAATGGGACCTGAATAACCACCAGGATCCAATGAGACCTGGGTCACCACCGCGCCTATGGCCAACCTGTTTGTAGTGTGGGCTTGAAGATGGCCACCTTTGGGGCTTCCTGTTAGAGAAGGAGATGTGGGGTCTCTTGGCCTCCAAGATCAAGGGCAAGTTCTCCCTGCAGGCCTCCATCACAGGCATGAGCACTGTGGACAGCATGGAAGTGAGGATGTGCTGCCCAATGCAGGCAGCCTGGAGGGTCCCTTTGGTTCCCTAAACAATGTCAGGTCTGGTATCATGTGGGGTGTGCTTGGAGCTGCTGAGTCCTATCTACTCTCAGCCAGGCATACACCCTGCACAGGCTCCAGTTTGGCGTTTTGTTGATCAGACACCAGCTGCTTCAGAAGTTGGTGGACACGCTTACTGAGGTCACACTGGGCCTTCATGCCTGTCTGCAGCATGGCCACTTGAAGAATCAGTGCAAGGCGGCCCCAGGATGGGTCTCTCTGGCAAAGAGGAGTAACTGTGGAAAGGCCTGCCAGGCCCAAGACATGCTGGGGGCATTGGAGTTTCTGATGACTATCACACGGTCCAGCACATCAGGAACCCGGAGGCCATGAAATCCTGTGCACATGACATGTGCACCCCGATCCTGGGAAGAGCTGTCATAGGAATCCAGGCATTCATGGCTGGCAAGTGAGCCCATGCAGACAGGGGCCCAAAACTCTCAAGTCCCTTCCCAGAGACAGGCCTGGCTGGATTCTGAGCTTAGAAAGGATGGAGTGGGAAGTGAGAGACACTGATTTTAAAATATCAAAATTTCCCTACTGAAGTTGTTTAGATGTGTTCCTTAAAAAGAAGGTGGAATTCTCTGTAGTCTTTCCCAATCCACTTTTAACCATGCAATAGAACAGACTGCATTTATCTTGGAATAGAAACTTTTCTTGAGAGGAGTGTGACATTGAATCAACTTCCTTGAGACCACCTTGGTCTCTGCCTAAACCCCCCTTACACCAAGAGTTCACGGTGCACCCTCCGACCCTCCCATCTTGGGGGAGTGCCTTATGCTGGGCGTTGATGCAGAATAAGAGAGGAAAATAAAGAGGCTACACGTCTGACCCCACAATGTTGGGCTGCATTTACTGGTAACCACCTGAGAAGCAGTTTCAGCCACAGAAGAAACTAACACATCTCGTGCCCTGAGTCACTGGGACGTTGTAGGGACCACATTTACTGGTAACCACCTGAGAAGTAGTTTCAGTTCGTTCAGGAGGAACGAACACATCTGAGTGCTGTGAGTCACTGGGACATGGTAGTCTAGTCCATGTTTGAGTCTTAGACTCTGCTGTAATAAATAAACCCAGGTTAGCACTGCCCAGACCCTGGGGGGTATATACCAGGGATGCAGGGCTCAGGGCTGTGGACAGAGAAGACAGTTTCTGAACAGCAGAGGTGCAGGGGATTTTGTTCTTTCTGTCACCACACAGCTGATCACGCAATGATGGGAAATGACAGTGGTCTGGCTTCTCTGCTTGGACATACCATATTACAGCGGGTCACAAATGAGATGGCAAGAGCACCATGGGCTTTGCAGGGACTGTGGCCTTATGGGGTGGGGCAGGCTGCCTGGTTTCTCTTCACATTTACTCTCAGCTGGGCCATCCCTGAGTTTGCTCAGATGAATGAGTTTGCTCAGGCGGGATACCTCAGGCTGGATGCACAGGTTTTCGTATACAGTCTCCATGCTGTGGCCAACTTGTTTGAGATCTGTTTCCAAATGGCTGATCTTTGCCACTTTCTGAGTGAATCCCTGGAGCTTTTCCTGGATATGATCTTGTTGTGGTCATTATAAAGCTGATAGATCCTTTCCTCTAACTGCTCTGTCAGATCTGAACCCTTTTAAAGAATAAGACACATTCTTGGAAAATCAAACAAGAGGCATCACAAGCCATTTATTCTAAGTGGATCTCAAATTTCTACAATTTATCTTATAAAATGCTAAAACAAACACCCCCTCCCAAAAAAAAAAAAAAAAGAAAAACAAACCCGGTGCAGAGTGCAGTGACTAGCGGGGGTTAAACTTTTTTAAGAAGTAAAAACATACAAAGCCATTTGCCAAACAGTGATGTTTTGGTCAATATCAGATTGTATATGCAGAGGATCCCGTAATATTATAATATAATATTATAATTTTACTGCACCTTTTCTTTGTTTAGATATGTTTAGTTATACAAATACCATTGTGTTACAATTGCCTATAGTATTCAGTATAGTAACATGCTATGCAGCTTTGTAGCCTAGGAGCAATAGGCTGTACCATCTAGGTTTGTGTAAGTACACTCTATGATGTTCAGACAATGATAAAATTGCCTAATTCCACATTTCTCAGAAATATTCCCATTGTAAAGTAATACATGATTTTATACAGTATAAATTCAACTAGGTTAGAAAGAAAGTACATAAAACAGAGGCTAGAGAGGCATACAGCAAAGTGGTTTCTGGATGACGTGCCAAATAAGTGTTTTTACATCTTTTTTATTGCATTATGCATTTATCTACTTTCTAAATTTTCTATGATATACCAGGGTATGTACCAATAGGGCTTGGTCAGAGGGGCATAAAAGTAGAAAATAGGTCAGGCAAAGGGGGTTATGCCTGTAATCTTAGTGCTTTGGGAAGCCAAGGCAGGAGGATGGCTGAGGCTGGGAGTTCAAGACCAGCCCGAGCAACATAATAATACCTCATCTCTATAAACAAATTGTTTTTTAATGTGTGGGTTATGGGGGCACATACCTGTAGCTCCAAGCTTCTTAGGAGGCTGCAGTGGGAGAATCTCTTGAGTCCAGGAGTTTGAAGCTGCAGTGAGCTATAATTGCACTACTGTACCCAGCCTGGGATACACAGTAAGACCCTGTCTCCAAAAAACTGGTAGGGTGGGGGCAGGTAATAAAGTCAACCTGTCATCAACACACATGGAATCAGCAAGCTGTTCCACTCACAAGATTCATTGTATTTGAAGAGGCATCTGGCACAACCATTAATTTAAGACCTGAACATAACATCAGTCATTGCAAGACATAAGCTCCTGGCATGTTGAAGATCCCCAGCACTCCCATCAGAGAACATGTGATGACTTCCGGAGGGCACAGATGTGACAATGAAAGCTGTGCCTCAACCCCCACTACTGTCACTCTTGGTGCCTGTGTGAATTGGATGCAGGGGGACCTGGGCCCTCAGCCTGGCCCTCTAACTTGAGCAAATCATTCATTTCCAAACCCTATCTATAAAATGAGTCCAAGCTCTTCTTTGCAGGATTGTTGGAACGGTGAATTGAGATACAGATGGTCCCAACTTACTATGGTTTGATTTATAATTTTTCAACTCTATAATGAGTTTACTAGGGTATAAAATATGTTTGCAATTTATGAAACAAAAAAGTTTAAAACATTTAATGATTGTGAAAGTATAAAAACAAGGAAAAGAATAGAAGGTGGCCATAAGATCAGCAAAGTTTAATAAATTTTGTGAGTGGAAGAATTATTTTTCTGCCAAAACAAACATGGGAACCATAGAGAAATTATTTCCCAGAAGCTTTATAAGATTTTGAGTTTGTCGTATCAACATTTAAGTCATTGGAGATGTCATTTTCATGGTGTGTTTCCAATTTTTTATTTTTATTTTTTAGACAGAGTCTTACTCTGTCGCCCGGGCTGGAGTGCAATGGCACAATCTCAGCTCACTGCAAACTCTGCCTCCCGTGTTCAGGCAATTCTCTGCCTCAGCCTCCCAAGTAACCAGGATTACAGGCACCCGCCACCATGCTCAGCTAATTTTTGTATTTTTAGTAGAGACAGGGTTTCGCCATGTTGGCCAGGCTGGTCTTGAACTCCTAACCTCATGATCCACCTGTCTTGGCCCCCCAGAGAGCTTGGATTATAGGCATGAGCCATCAGGCCAGCTGGTATGCTTTCAAATTTAACATTTAAATCAGAAAAAAAAAAAGTCCCAAGCCAAATTTGAACACCCATAATGAATAACTAGAAATGCAATTCAGTCAATATGTGACTGACAGTATTGCAATTGTCCATACTATGGCTGAGAAGAAATGTCATCCCTCTCTGAAATGTCCCCATTTCCCCATTGAGACATGATCTATCCTAGCACCATTTATTTATTTGCTGGAAATTGCAGTTACTTACACATATCTGTGACCTACCCTACAAGTTCTTTTGAGCCATATAATATAGAAAGGAGACAGAAACACTTGGTTTCAAGTCCTGGCTCAGTCACCTGCCAACTGTGTGACCTTGTGCAAATTATTTGATCTTTCTAAATGTCAGTTTCATCATCTGTAAAAAGGTTATAATCTTGTAAGAACTAATGATGATAGCTATTTATAAATGCTTATAATCCAGGTAGGTACTAAGTATTTGAAGTGTTTGACATGTAAAAATTTTATCTCTCACAAGAACTCTTTGAGGTAGCTACTATTATTTTCTCTGTTTTACACAAGAGGCAAACTGAGATCTTGCTCAAGGTGTGCAGCTAATAGGTGATGGAGGTGGTGTTCAAACCTAGCCCATCTGATGCCAAAATGAAATAATGCTTGTAAAGTATTCAGTATAGCAGCTTTGTGAGTAGAGACAACGTTTCATAATGAGGGTTTCCTCATACTCCTACTCATCTGTCCCATTCAGCAGGTATTGGACCTAAATCACCTTGTGCTTCAATGATGCAATATTTCTTACTGAAGCATTAGGAAAAAATACAAGTATAAGAATGTCAAGTGTCTCGCTCCTTCTAAATTCATCATTATCCAATTGAGAGCCTCAAGAAGAATCATTTCCTAAAAGTTCTCCAAATCTGCCATTTTCAAAGGAAAAAAATAAATAAATCTCAGCCCCTGAGCCAAGCATGAGCACCTACAGACAGCTTCGGAAATGCAATTTAAACAACAACCAAAAAAAGCACCCTTGGGTAAAGTACAGATGATACTGCCAAAGAAAAGAAAATCATAAATGAAGCAAACTTAAGCTTAAATGAATTTAACATCGATTCTAAGAAGAGCAGGTACTAGGTACTGCACATGGCTATGCTGACCCTAGACCAACTCTCATTTTATTCTGAGTTCTCGTTTTGAGCAATACAAAATAGCTAGCTTTCAGAGATCATTTCTATATGGCTATTTGTATATATTCTGGCCAACAAACATAGAAATAGTTATTACATGCATGGGAAGAAAAGAGAAAATCTGCTTAACATCACCAATGATCAGAGAAATACAAATCAAAACCACAGTGCAATGCCACCTTACTCCTGCAAGAATGGCCATAACCAAAAAAATTAAAAAATAACAGATGTTGGCAGGGATGCCGTGAAAAGGGAACACTTCTACAATGCTGGTGGGAACGTAAACTAGTACAACCACTATGGAAAACAGTGTGGAGATCCTTAAAGAACTAAAAGTAGAACTACCATTTGGTCCAGCAATTCCTACTACTGTGTATCTACCCAGAGGAAAAGGGAAGTCACTATATGAAAAATATATTTGTATATGCATGTTTATAGGACCATAATTTGCAATTGGAAAAATGTGGAACCAGCCCCAATGCCTATCAATCAATGAGTGGATAAAGAAATTGTGAGATATATATATATATACATATATGTGTGTGTGTGTGTGTGTGTGTGTGTGTATACCATGGACTACTACTCAGTCTTAAAAAGGAACAAATTAATGGCATTCACAGCAGCCTAGATGGAACTGGAGACTATTACTCTAAGTGAAGTAACTCAGGAATAGAAAACAAAAATCAAATGTCACTCATAATTGGGAGCTCAGCTATGATAGGATACAAAAACATAAGAATGATACAATGGACTTTGGGGACTTGGGGGAAAGTGTGGAAGGGGATGAGGGATAAGAGACTACAAATTGGGTGCACCAAAATCTCACAAATCACCACTAAAGAACTTACTCATAACCAAATACCACCTGTTCCCCCCCAAAACTTACAGAAATAAAAAATCAAAAAATAAAAATAAAGAAGGTGAAAAATGTTTCTAATTCCTGTTTCAGACTTAGACCCTTAGACATTCTGAAACTAGGGAGTTCTGCCATGGAGATATAAGTTTCTTTAAATCTCCCTAAAACTATCATTTCATTTGTACTCAGCGATAAAATTACAGAATCACACTGTCATACTGTGCTCTTTTCCTTTGTGGTATGGGTTAGAGAGAGACCAGATCATAGATATTTCAGAACATGAAACTTCAATGGGAAATTGATCATCTTTAGCCCCTTCTTTAATGGCTGCAATTTCGTTCTTCACCCATCCTTAATCCCAGTTGCACATGCTGCAATCTTCTTTTTCATTCTGACCATGCATATCACGTCCAGCTCCATCACCTACTAAGAGACTGCACTTTGTCAAGTGTTCCCAAATTAGTCAGTGGGAGACATTGTGTGACCACATCAGAAAGTTGTGGGAGGCTCCCATTCCAGCCTCTTGTCATGAAGCCGGTAGACAGGGTTCATTCTAACTCTCAAGAGGCATGCAGGTGAAACTCTGGCTTTTTAAAACCTCCAAGAAAAAACGGAAGAGAAGATGGGACACTTTGGAGAAGAGAAGAGAATTTCATTTGCCCAGGATGCTGGTCTCTCCAAACTCACCAAGTTGTATGCATTAAATATACACAGCATTTTGTATGTAATTATATGTCCGTAAAGTGATTTTTTTTAAAGTGCTAAGCTCATGATTTTATATTAGATTCCAGTGGTATTTGGGAAGTCCAAGTAAAAGAGAACCAAAACAAATCATATACTTTTTATATATTTGATAAAATTGCATTTATATTTAATATAACATATATAGTATACTTTTATATAATTTATA